ATGGAGTCCATATCTAGTCAAGGATAAGACTAAACTGGAAAAGGTTCAAAGGTTTGCCACCAGACTAGTACCCGACCTGAGAGGTATGAGCTACGAGGAGAGACTACGGAATTAAACCTCACTTCGCTGGAAGACAGAAGAGTTAGGGGGGACATGATCACCACATTCAAGATTCTGAAGGGAATTGATAGGTTAGATAAAGACAGGTTATTTAACACAAGGGGCACACGCACAAGGGGACACAGGTGGAAACTGAGTGCCCAAATGAGCCACAGAGATATTAGAAAGAACCTTTTCAGTGTCAGAGTGGTTGACAAATGGAATGCATTAGGAAGTGATGTGGTGGAGGCTGACTCCATACACAGTTTCAAGTGTAGATATGATAGAGCCCAATAGGCTCAGGAATCTGTACACCTGTTGATTGACGGTTGAGAGGCGGGACCAAAGAGCCAGAGCTCAATCCCCGCAAACACAACTAGGTGAGTACATCAGTGTACGTGCTGCTATCCTAATCGCACTAATCTATCCCTATCTTACATCCGGTATCTATACATGGCGTTCAACCACAGCAAATTACCTCAAGCCTATCATCACTCAGCAAAAAAAAATCTGCGATCAGAATTATAACGGACTCTGTCTTCAGACAACACAAAGCCCTCTGGTTAAGTCCCTTAACATGCTAAACATACACTCACTCCACACATTCTCATGTGCTATCTACATGCACAAAAGCTTGTTCCTAAATGCTAATCTTGATCTGAAACATTTCCTTGATAGATGTAATAGAACCCATGATCACCACCAGAAATATATGTCTCTTTGATATCCCCAGAGTCAGACTAAATCTGTCCAAACACTCCATGCAAATAAAAGGGCCCGGTCTTTGGAACTCGCTCCCTGATGAATTACAAAATTGCCCAACCAATGCCCTGTTCAAAAGTAAAACCAAAAAAGTACTTAATAACATTCTCATAGTTTCCTACCTTGTGCTTCAAACTCACACTGTGTCTTGTACTACCCACTTCCACAATATTAGTACTTAAGACATATATCTTTACCAGTGTAATTACCTCTGTCAACTTATGTTGTAGTTATTTGTTGATATAAAACCTTGCTACAATGTACCTTTGCATCTTACCTGATATGTTAGATGAATTACTTGCCCGAAACGTTATGCGTGTTAGAGACTTTGCATGAATGTAAAAATACCTAACTTATGGTTCAGTCCCTGAGCCCATTATGTTCCTCTGTAACCCTTTCCACTTCCGCCCACAAGATGGGTATGGAGTGTATAATAAATGAACTAAACTAAACTTATGTAACCTCACCAACCCATTGTACCTTCTTGCAAATAAATTATTATTATTATGAGGAGTAAGACCTACAGAGTTTAATTCAAAGGTTATTTATGTTTACCTAATATGCCTATCTCGCAGAATGATTTGTTAAATTGCATGGAATGTGACTAAAGTGTAATGGTAGTAATCACTATTTCAATTTCTTTCTTTATTATGCACCCCATACCCATCCCATGCGTGGTGGTGTAAAGGATTACAGAGGCACATATCGGTTCAGGAACTGAACCCTCTAGTTCGTTCAGCTAAGCAAATAACAATCTTTTGACGCTAGTTGCAAAATTATCAATGTTATATATACATGTACACATATTCATGCATACATGTATATATACATACGTATACATGGCGCCTTAATCCACTTGACCATCACGGCCGTCAAAAGGAAGTGATAGCCGAGGCTATTTGAGCCACTTCCCCGACGGCAACTCGGATGGTAATCTTGGGCATAGCATTTCACCAAATCACCTCATTCTTTGGGGCACACGTGGGGAACACAAATGCAAACAAGAATGTCTTGTTTGCATTTGTGTTCCTCACGTGTGCCCCAAAGAATGAGGTGATTTGGTGAAATGCTATGCCCAAGATTACCATCCGGGTTGCCGTCGGGGAAGTGGCTCAAATAGCCTCGGCTATCACTTCCTTTTGACGGCCGTGATGGTCAAGTGGATTAAGGCGCCCTGTAGTTACCAGTTGCGTTGCTCCTATGAGTATGGGTTCGAGTCACTTCTGGGGTGTGAGTTTTCATTCGCATATAGTCCTGGGGACCATTCAGGCTTGTTTGCATACGTATACATATACATTCATCATATGTGTAAAGTGCCTTGTATTGTGACTTGTGAGCTTCTTCTTGAATCACTTGTGACACAAAAGATTATTGATGTGTGTATTTGTGTGGGTGATTAAATATGTAGTAATCACTAGTAATCAATTCATTCATAAAATATTCACATACAGTATAAGTGCACATCAAGCCACATTCAAGACATTAACCTTCAGTGGGTTACACAATATCAATATCTCGGAGTGTGGATAGATTTTAAAACGACATTCAACAAACAAATTCAATATCTAAAGGAGAAAGCAAAATCACGACTGAATATAACGAGAGCAATCCCAGGGCACCGTCTAGGAGCGGGACACAAAGTGATAAGACAGGCTTGGATACCCATGTGCATGGGAAATAGGCTTACAGGTTCCGGAAGATGAGAGGAAATGTCAACACTGTGGAGAAATGCCCGACAGACCACTGGAACATTATCTAACACAGTGCACAGTTACAAACCCGTTAAGATTTCAACTTAGATTCAACAGAGCAGAAGAAGTTGTTAAACACATATGGCAAAATCTTACTGAAGCGACCATACGAGTTAATAAATACTCATACTCTGCCTAAGTAAAACAGAAACAAGCAACACTTAGTGGGCCAGTCAGAGGCTTGGGGCCCGCGCAGGAATATCCCTGCAAAAAAAAAAAAATAAACTAATACGCGAAACGCTTTCGGGAAAACTTAGATTAAGTTAAACAAAATTATAGCTATTATCGGGTAAACAATACTAAACAAGAAGGAATTAGTTAACATGCACGAAGTTCAAGAAGTTTAGCAAAAGATAAAGAATATAAACTTCGGGTGATCTATAACATTTTGTATATCCTTAAGTAAATTAAAGTTACAAACCACCATGTCATTTGTTCTCAAATCACAGACAATTGAACATTTACTAATATAATGTTGAATTATATGTTCTAGCTCTTTTCCAGTTTACTGATGCTAGATCAACACGTTTCAGATTCGATACATACCACACCGTTAAATTCTTGTAGTTTCTTTTTTTTTATTAACAAACTTAGGTACACACAACAATTATAATGTGCTGCTACCCTATTCTATATATGAGGGTTTACAAAGTACAGATCAAGCGTTAGCTACGAGTTCATCTAATATTCCCATCTCACAGGATGGGAGATATTAGTCACGCATGAAATCAGAAAACATGAGATGCCTGTCTAATCTACTACAGCCTGTACTAAACTTTAAGTAGAGCACGAGAATATCTTCCAATATTCGTGAGTGTACGAAAGTTACAAAACTTAAAGTATTTCGTGTCATTTGCTCTGGAATAAAATAAAAGGAGAGTGTGTCCTATGGCTCGACTTATTCCCATATAGCGTACAAATGCTCGCAGTTTGCTGGAGACTCATTACCTGCAGACACTTAACTGTATCATTATCCCAGCCTAATTCTGGCAATAACAGTGTCATAAAGTCTTGGGGAAGTTTTGTGCTGACCGTACGTATAGATTGATTTCTTGTAGTGTTATATCAAGCGCATTTTGGCGGGAAATTTAAAATGTCGTAACTCCATATTTTTATTTTAATTCAGTCTTCTTTACGTTCATAAAATGTTCATACTTTTTTAATAATACATTATAAGCGACTCTGCATACAATGTGCGATGTCGTCTTGTATATACCAAAATAAAGTTTACTCTACATTTTTATAATTGTGGGTTAAAATCAAGATTATGACAAGTTCAGAAAGAAACTCATAATCTTAAAGGAGAAACTCACAATCTTATAAGAAAGAAACTCATACACTTACATCAAAGTTGAATAGATTCTTCCTGGCTGTTAAAACATGGTAAACAAATTATTTAAACATTTACTGAAGTAATCGTATTCAAAAATAATAGTTTTGTTATTTAAAGCGTCTACTTTCAGTTATTTTGACATTTTTTCAGTCATTCTGAAACTGGGGCACCCTGCTTTTAAATGAACAATTAATAAACACTAGGCGTAAAATGTAAAAAAAAAAAAAAATCATTAGGCCGTAGCCTTCAAACATTGATACCAACAAGACTGTGACCATTGTGTGGCAGATCACACGACTGTAGAGTTAAGACTTGTTGCAAATGTGTTGACACACAAGCCATGTGTAATCAGTGTCCACAGTTTCCATGCTTTACACTAATACAAATGTACTTACTTTGCTGTAAGTTAACCTTCCGTAATCAAGTGTACTCAGGTTCATATTTCCTGTTTCGGTTACGTGAGGAACTAAGTACTGTTTTGATGTGAAGTAAATGATCATTATTATTATAGCTGGAGGCCACTCAACTTTGTTAACGTGGCGTATATGTGTATACATTACTACATGTGTAAAGTGACTGCTGTAGCTACTATGGGTCACTTGAGGTAAAGCCCTAGCCTATAGCACCAGTTTCAACTTCAAACACAATGCTTATTAGTACTTAATTAAGTCATTAACACATCTGAGTCACGAAAATGCGTTCGCAGACTAATTACAGACATTTTTAATGCATACGAAAGTGCAAAACAAAAACTGATGCAGAAAAATATTCACCTTAGTAAGCAATAGTTTGTACCCAACATATAATTGGAAGACCTGTTGCTCAATTAGGGTTACGGCACTTTATGCTTGTCTAATACAAGAAGCTGACAAAACTTGGACTCGTGTTGGATTAAGCTGTCAACATTAAGCGGAAATGAAGGCACAAATGAGGAGGGGGGAAGTCGACTGACAACAAACCTCGTGCTTTGAAAAGTCAACAATAACCCAGATAAACTCACCCATGTACTTAGGCTACGTGACACTCCAGCAATGTGTATATCCTGCGTATCTCACCTTGTATGAGAGAGCTTGCCCATGGTCGAGGAGCTGAGAGCAGCAGCAGCAGCAGCAGCAGACGTCACCTTACCTCGCCGCCTCCCAACACTGACCTCCCGCCGCCTACTTCACCACCCTCGCCGCCCGCACGTCCTCTCAAAACTCTATACTCTCTCATGAACAAATTTGTCCGCTTTTTTGGTAGATAATTGTGACTAATTACTAATTACAGATTAATTATGCCACTCTATATGACACATCCATATAGAATGTTCATTTACATGAACACTCTATATTCTCATTTTCTCTCCCACCGGCAGCTTTATACACACGTACGTGCATATATATACCCTGTATGTATGTATGTATATATATATATATATATATATATATATATATATATATATATATATATATATATATATATGTCGTACCTAGTAGCCAGAACGCACTTCTCAGCCTACTATGCAAGGCCCGATTTGCCTAATAAGCCAAGTTTTCATGAATTAATGTTTTTTCGACTACCTAACCTACCTAACCTAACCTAACCTAACTTTTTCGGCTACCTAACGTAACGTAACCTATTGAGATAGGTTAGGTTAGGTTAGGTAGGGTTGGCTAGGTTCGGTCATATATCTACGTTAATTTTAACTCCAATAAAAAAAAATTGACCTCATACATAATGAAATGGGTAGCTTTATCATTTCATAAGAAAAAAATTAGAGAAAATATATTAATTCAGGAAAACTTGGCTTATTAGGCAAATCGGGCCTTGCATAGTAGGCTGAGAAGTGCGTTCTGGCTACTAGGTACGATATATATATATATATATATATATATATATATATATATATATATATATATATATATATATATATATATATATATATATATATATATATATATGCAAGAATAGTCACAAAAAACATGTGATTCTGTTATGCATAAATATCTTCTAGGAAAACGAAACGAAAAATCCAAACGTTTGGCGTTTCACCACATTATCAAGGAAAATACAGGAATCCTGTGTTTGAAATTTATGTAACCCGTGGGTAAAATACGTCGAGGCCACTAGGTATATGCTCGGCCCTCAGGTCAATTTATCTATAAGTAGAAATGCCAGACGCTTGGAGCACCACTCTTGTGCCAGGTAAGTCCACTACGGGCTCACCATAGCCCGTGCTACTTGGAACTTGTTCCGAGTAGCTGAATCTATAACAACAACGCTTGGAGCTTCACTCAATTTTACCTGGTAATTTCTGATGGGTACATGCTCAACATGGGTGGGTTCAGAGAACCATTATAACAGTCTGAATTTGTTTTCTATCGTAAAACATTTGTAGATTGATCATGCTAAAATAAAAAATATCTTAAACTCTAAATACTGATGACGATTTTCTTTTTTAGATTGTATTTAGTATTTGCATTCGCAGAATCGAGCTATTAGCTCTTGGGGTGGGGGGGGGGGGGTGGTTGTTAGAAATAGCCTAAAGTACTCTATCCCTTTGGGATGTATTTTCTTGTCTCACTAAGCATACTTGAACTTGAATTAGCTCTTGGACACCGCATTTCTAACATTGTGCTAATTCTGGTGATAATTGTTTCTAGACCATATGTAAAGTGTTCTTAGTGATGTAGGGAGCAGGGGAAGGGAGAGAGGGGGAGGTCATCCCTTTCTCCCTCCTTACCTTGAAGTTAACTTGTGTTTCTGGGACTTAGCGTCTCCACCATCGACCAGGCCTCCTGGTTGCTGGACTGGTCAACCAGACTGTTGGACGCGGCTGCTTGATGCTTGATGCTGATGATATTTCCTTCATCTATTCACGCAGCCTGACGTATGAATCACAGCCTAGTCTATCAGGTATCCTTTGGAGGTGCTTAACCAGTTCTCTCATGAACACTGTGAGGGGTCGGCCAGTTATGTCCCTTATGTGTAGTGGAAACGTGAACAGTCTCGGGCCTCTGATGTTGATAGTTCTCTCTCAGAGTACCTGTTGCACCTCTGCTCTTCAACGGGAGTATTCTGCACATCCTGCCATGCCTTCTAGTCTCATGTGATGTTATTTCTGTGTGCAGGTTTGGGACCAGCCCCTCTACTATTTTCCATGTGTAAATTATTATGTATCTTTCCCACCTGCGCTCAAGAGAATACAGATTTAGGCTCTTTAGTCGGTCCCCAATAGTTTCCCTTCTTCTGAATTACATATGTATATAATCCCTCCTATTATTATTTATCTCCCTCCTATGTAATCAGAGGGTAGAATCCCTCCATATATATTAATCCCTCCTGGATTAAAATCCTGGCCAGAGCAGAAATAAATTGGCAGCATATTCTTTCACCTCGTGCTTCTGTTCACCAAGCATTTAATAGGTACTTAATAGTTCAGACAGATTCTGGGGGCTACATCCTGGTGATACTCAGTAGTTGGATTAGTGGTTAAGACATACAACATACATACATACAATGTGTGATAAACACACACACACACACACACACTGAACAAATCCAGGGAGGAGTGATTGGGAACCAACTTGATGCTGATGATATTTCCTTCATCTATTCACATCCCAACCCCCACACCAAAGAATATTGAAAATAATGAATTGAAGAAAATCCATGTTGTCAACCAACAAACTCACGCTAAACACAGAAAAGACCTACTACATTTTATATGGAAGTAAATCATCAATCCAAATTCAACTTCAGAGACAATGCTAACATTAGCATTAAAATTGATGAAAAGTTTCTTGGCCTATAAATAAATAAGACACTGAACTTCAACACCCACATACAACATATAGCAGTCTCAAAAACTGTTGGCATACTCTCTAAAATCAGATACTATATTCCCCACTCTGCTCTACTCTTAGGGTCAGTAGTTGCTACAGCAATCTATCCCTATCTTACATACGGTATCTGTGCATGGGGTTCAACCACTGCAAATTGCCTATCATCACTCGGCAAAAATCTGCTATCAGAATGTAATAAACTGTCTTCAGACAATACACAGCCCCTGTTTAAATCCCTTAGCTTGCTAAACATACATACACACCCCACACACTCATGTGCTATCTACATGTACAAAACCTTGTTCCTAAATGCTAATCTTGATCTGAAACTTCCTTGATAGGTGTAATAGAAACCATGAGTACTACACCATAAATAAATATCAAAATAAATCTGTACAAACACTCCATGCAAATAAAAAACCCAGACTATGGAACTCAGTCCCTAATATAACCCCCCCCCCCCTCTAAACAATAGGTTGGAAAATTAAATTTCCACTTTATGCCTTATTCAAAAGTAAAGCCAAAAACTCTCAAATTTCATGCTCATAATTTCCTACCTTTTGCTTCAAACTCGCACAGTATCTTGTGCTACCCACTTCCCTAATATTAGTACTTAAAACATGCAGTTTCTTCAGTGTAATCATTAACATCAATTTATATTGTAGTTATTATGTTGAACTTAAAGCAGATGATGAATCACAATAACGTAGCTGAAAAATGTTGATCAAACCATACACTAGAAATTGAAGAGACTACGGTTTCGTAGATTTCGGTTTGTCCTGGACCATTATAGTCGATTGTGATAATGGATTAAATGGATTGAATTTAAATTTTGCGACATTGCACCAATTAATAAACTTACCTTATCGGTTAGATTAAGGACCTGCCCAACACACTATGCTTGTTAGTGGTTTTGTAAGAATATAAGAACACTAATGTTATGTACTCTCACAAACCCAATGTACCTACTTGTATATAAATAAATTCATAACCGTTCTCCAAGCAGTAATTTGAGACCTGGGAGTAAAATTGATTGGCAGGTCATATTGCAAGGAACACTAGTGGAGTAAGGCTAATAACATGACCTTTATTATCATTGAGAAAATCGGTAGCAGACGTGATGAGGATTCGAACCTATGCGGTGGGACAACTAGACCTAGAACCTATGCAACTACTCCAAGACATGGTAATAAGGATTGCAACATGGCAGTTGTACTGAACACACACACACGTTTTCCCAAGGCTTCCACTGCAGCTGGACCAGGATTTTCACACAATCCTCTCAAGTACACTAGCTGTGTCATCCAGGACTGTTTTACCTCTGATGCTTCTCTTTCAATACACAAGAGACTAATCACACTAACATGATATATCATGTAATTACTGTGTATTATTATAATTAGCATTTATAATATTAATAAATAATGATAAGAAAATTCATTGGGGCTCTGAGGTGACATGAACCCATGGCCAAGGCACTGTCAGCCACACACACACTACCACTATACCACCAGGGACTTGTTAACACTTTTGCCCACTAATAACAAAGTATAGTCAAAATTTTAGTACCTTATTTCCACTAATGACAAAGTATGGCGTCAAAAATAAAATAAAAATTTGACCTGCTTTTGTCTTAGCTGCGAGAGACGTGCGCTGTGGTTTTGGACATTATATGCCTGTACTCCTGGAAGGAATTTCATTGCGAATACATTGATACCAAAATGAAAGACCTAGGACGAGAATTGAGGTAATAAAGTTGAAAATAGTAAACACATTTTATTGCTCTTGATGAGCGCTCATGAGGGTAACGCGCTGTCACTTTTTCTGTTAGCTGTGGGTGGCACGCCAGGCTTTTGGACTTTATACATGCATATACTCCTGTAGGGAATTCTATTGCGAACCCAATGATACCAAAATGAAAGACCTAGTACGAGAATTGAGGTGACGAAGTGAAAAGAGTGTACACATTTTATGGCTCTTTAGCGCTCCTGGGTAACATGCTCTCACTTTCTGTTTTGTGCGGGTGGTACGCCGGGCTTTTGGCCTTCATATGTATTTAATCACATAGAGAATTCTATTGCAAACACATTGATATCAAATTGAAAAAGCAAGGACGAGAATTGAGCTGACAAAGTTGAAAAGAGTATACACTTTTCAGTATTATCGCGCTCTCTAATGGAAGGCTGGGCACGCCTCCCTGCTTTCATCACGTTGGCGGGTGGAGCATACCATGGTTTTTGACATTATATACATATACTCCTGTTGGGAATTCTATTGCGAACCCATTGATACCAAAATGAAAGATCTAGGATGAAAATTGAGGTGACTAAAGTGAAAAAGAGTGATACACATTTTATTGCTCTTGCGCGCTCCCAGGTAACTCGCTCTCACTTTCCCCGTTTGCTGGAGGGTGGTAAGCCGGGCTTTTGGAGTGTATATGCTTTTAGTCCTGTAGAGCATTCTATTGAGAACACATTGATACAAAACTGAAAAACCTAGGACGAGAAAAAAGGTGACAAAGTTGAAGAGAGTATACACTTTTCAGTATTACCGCACGCTCCTGCGGAATGCCCAAAACCACTAGGAAAGGTGGAGCCATCGCTCTGGAACTGCGAAAGTGTTAACGTACCTTTCCAAGTAAAATACTTGGTAAAAATAGAGAGAGATTTCATTAGAATTTCAGTGGCATGACTTTATAAAGTCAATGGTGGTACAGTGGTAGAGCATGTGGCTAGCAGTACTTTGGTTGCAAGTTTGTGTCACTCAGAGCCCCAATGGATTTTCTCATATATATATATCGCATTAGTGCAAGGTCATTAGAGAAAAATTAAATTTGCTAGTCAGAAAATTCTCTTTATTTCAGAAAAATGCATTTTTAGAAAATTGTAAGGCTTACATTAAAATAGCCATTTTTTACTTTTAGTAATATAATCTATATAAAAAAATGTGACCCAACATTTTACAGACCTCTCACTATATCAACTGTGATTTATTAGAAGGAACTTACTATACAAGAGACAATCCAATATCTACTGTACATGAAGATCAATATAAGGTGACAATCATCTTCCAAGGAAAATTATGTAAATACTGTAGATTTCATAAAAATTAAAAGATGTTTTACTGAAGCTTGCAATACTAAGCAAATTATTTAGATGTCTTCAGTCCCTAATGAATTATACGAATAGTAGATTTGCCAGTGAGAGCAAGGAATTCGTCATCCTGTAGATCACGAAGAGCATCCTCGAACATCTCACGAGTGATCATCTGAAAGTAAGCCATGAAAAAGTTTAGCAAGTGAAACATAGGAGCAAAAGCATTTCCAAAAAGCAGTTAAAAGTTATTTATACTATTTTCTCTATTCTGAAATAAAATAATGTATTTTTGCAGAAGTTGCCTGAAGATTATACTTGAAGAAAAATCAAATTCACAAATATTGGGGAACATTTCCTTTAGGTAGTGATGACTTACACCACTGAATATCAAGGAATCCTCAACATGTTTATGAACAAGTCCAGAATAAAGCTGTGCTACACATCCCTGTATCACCTGGTTGATACCTGGTTGATGGGGTTCTGGGAGTTCTTCTACTCCCCAAGCCCGGCCCGAGGCCAGGCTCGACTTGTGAGAGTTTGGTCCACCAGGCTGTTGCTTGGAGCGGCCCGCAGGGCCACGTACCCACCACAGCCCGGCTGATCCGGAACTTCTCTTAGAAAACCGTCCAGTTTTCTCTTGAAGATGTCCACGGTTGTTCCGGCAATATTTCTTATGCTCGCTGGGAGGACGTTGAACAACCGCGGACCCCTGATGTTTATACAGTGCTCTCTGATTGTGCCTATGACACCTCTGCTCTTCACAGGTTCAATCTTGCATTTTCTTCCATATCGTTCACTCCAGTACGTTGTTATTTTACTGTGTAGATTTGGGACCTGACCCTCCAGTATTTTCCAGGTGTATATTATTTGGTATCTCTCTCGTCTCCTTTCTAGAGAGTACATTTGGAGAGCTTTGAGACGATCCCAATAATTTAGGTGTTTTATCTCGTCTATGCGTGCCGTATATGTTCTCTGTATTCCCTCTATTTCAGCAATCTCTCCTGCTCTGAAGGGGGAAGTGAGTACTGAGCAGTACTCGAGACGGGACAGCACAAGTGACTTGAAGAGTACAACCATTGTGATGGGATCCCTGGATTTGAAAGTTCTCGTAATCCATCCGATCATTTTTCTGGCTGACGCGATATTTGCTTGGTTATGCTCCCTAAACGTTAGATCGTCGGACATCATTATTCCCAAATCCTTGACATGCTGTTTTCCTACTATGGGAAGATTCGATTGTGTTTTGTACCCTGTATTATGTTTCAGATCCTCATTTTTGCCGTACCTGAGTACCTGAAATTTATCACTGTTAAACATCATGTTATTTTCTGCTGCCCAATCAAAAACTTTGTTGACATCTGCTTGTAGTTTTTCAATGTCTTCAGCAGAGGTAATTTTCATGCTGATTTTTGTGTCATCTGCAAAGTACGACACGAAGCTGTGGCGTGTATTTTCGTCTATATCAGATATGAGAATAAGGAACAGTAGCGGTGCAAGGACTGTACCTTGAGGTACAGAGCTTTTAACATCGCTTGGACTCGATTTTATCTGATTGACTGTTACTCTTTGTGTTCTGTTCGACAGGAAATTGAGTATCCAGCGTCCTACTTTTCCAGTTATTCCCATTGACCTCATTTTGTGAGCTATCACCCCATGGTCACATTTGTCGAACGCCTTTGCAAAGTCTGTGTATACAACATCTGCATTTTGCTTTTCTTCTAGGGCTTCTGTGATTTTGTCATAGTGGTTGAGTAACTGTGACAGACAGGATCTTCCCGCTCTAAATCCATGTTGTCCTGGATTGTGCAATTCATTGTTTTCCATAAAACTAGAAATTTGATTCCTAATCACTCTTTCAAACACTTTTATTATGTGTGATGTTAGTGCAACTGGCCTATAATTTTTTGCCAAGGCTTTACTCCCCCCCTTGTGCAACGGAGCTATATCTGCAGATTTAAGTGCTGCTGGTATCTCCCCTGTATCCAGGCTCTTTCTCCATATTACGCTGAGTGCTCTCGCTACTGGTACTTTACATTTCTTTATGAATATTGAATTCCATGAGTCAGGCCCAGGAGCTGAGTGCATAGGCATATTATCAATTTCTCTTTCAAAGTCTTCCGAGTTTGTGGTAATATCCGTTATATTATCTGCAGCTTGAATGTCATTCATAAAGAAGCTGTCTGGGTCATCAACTTTCATGTTGTTTATTGGTGTGCTAAACATAGCCTCATACTGGCTTCTTAGAATTTCACTAATCTCTTTGTTGTCCTCTGTGTACGTACCTTCATTTGTAATTAACGGTCCAATACTGGTCGAGGTTTTGGATTTTGATTTTGCGTATGTGAAAAAATATTTCGGATTTTTCCTTATCTCTTGTATAGCTTTCTGTTCCAATTCCATTTCCTCAGACTCATATGATTGCTTCAACGTTTGTTCTATTTCCTCAATCTCCCTGCTTAGGCTTGTTTTCCTTGCTTGTGATAGTTGTGTCTGCCGAAGCATTTCCGTTATTTTTTCCTTCTCCTGTACAGTCGTCTCCGTTCTCTTTCTAGAGTGGTCCTCTTTCTGCCCCTCCTCACAGGTACGTGCTTCAAGCAGACCTTGTAAGCTTCAGCTGTCAGTTGAGCTATTCCCTGTGTGGGAGTTTTGTCGCTTAAGACCGTCTCCCATTGAATGGTTGCAAGGTCTACATTTATTTTTTCCCAGTCAATCCTCTTATTGTTGAAATTGAATTGATTGAATATTCCTTCTCGCTTGTTGGGTCTCTTAGACCTACTACCGTTATTTATGCTAGTTCGCACTTCAATGAGCTTATGGTCTGAGTATGAAGTATCTGAGATTGTGATATCCCTGATTAGTTCATCATTGTTTGTGAATAACAAGTCAAGTGTGTTTTCGTTCCTAGTTGGTTCTGTAATCTGTTGATTGAGCGAGAATTTGTCACAGAATCTCAAAAGTTCTCTAACCTGTGGTTGGTTATTTCCCGGGTCATTCCCTGCTATGATATTTGTGTTTGCCGTTCTCCATCTTAGACTCGGTAAATTGAAATCTCCAAGAAAGATAATATCTGGAGCTGGGTTTGCTAGGGTGTCAAGTATGTTCTCTATTTTGTGCATCTGTTCTGTGAATTCCTCAATCGTTGTATCTGGCGGTTTATATATTAGAATAATAATTAGGTTTAGTTTCTCTACCTTCATTCCAAGTACCTCTACCACCTCATTAGTTGAATTTAATAGTTCTGTGCATACCAGGTCTTCTTTAATATACAGACCTACTCCTCCATTTGACCTAGTTTTTCTATCACATCTATATAGATTATAATTTGGAATCCAGATTTCACCATCCATGTAATCTTTTGTATGAGTTTCCGTGAATGCCCCAAATATTGAGTTTGACTCTAATAGAAGGCCATTTATGAACTTAACTTTATTTCTTGACTTTGGCTTTAAACCTTGAATGTTTGCAAATATGAATGATTGTCCATATTGTGTGTCACTTCTGGAAGGTTTTGGTAGTTCTCCCTCCTCTCTACCCTGACCCAGGGTGTGTTGTTGTGGCAATGGTTTGTCCAGTTTTGGAAGTGATACTGGGGAGTGTGGTAGTCTCTGTGTAGTTGGGGGGTGTAGTATGTGTGGGCTTGATGACGAACTGTAGTCCAGTCTTGGGCATTTCCCCCTCTCCATCCGTACTCCTGCCACGTTTCTGCCTGTCTGTTTCTCCCTCTGTTTGTACCTGCCTCTAAAAAATTTTCAGGGCTATTATGTTGGACTTCTTCTCTTATATGGCGCTGTGTACCTCTGACGTGGAAATCGGGGCAGTGAAGATCGTAGTATTTCCTCTCATTGACTGAGAGTGTGCATAGCTTAGGGTGAAAATATCTACACTCTGTATCAAAACGACATCTGCCTTTCCCTAACCAGTTTCGGCATTTCCGTGGGTGCATGAATGAGCATTCCGTGCCTCTGGGCCCATATCTACACTGTCCTTTTGCATAATACCAGCAAATATTTTCATTTGTGATTGTATTATTCTTGTTTGTACCCGTGCACGACTTGGCTACCTCTGTGTTTTTTGTTCCAACTTTCTCGTTTCTGCATTCATTCTCGGTATTGCCCTTATCTTTCTCCTTGTTGCTTTCGTCTTTCTCATTTGTGTTCTCATTCGTCTCATTTTTTCTCTCCTTATTCATATCACCAGTGTGCTCTACAATATTGCCTTCATTTTTGTGTACCTCGACACTATACCCTTCTACATTGCTACTTTGACTCTCTAACTTCTCAGTCCCTGGGTTGTGTTCAGAGTTCGTTGCTGTCTTTATATACTCTGCATATATTTCTGGTAGTTTTTGTGTGAATTGTAGCCTGTGTACTTCAGGAATGTTATTCATTAGTTTGGTGATGTTTTCCCACAACTGTCTGTCTCTTTGACAGATCCAGTAGTTACCTTCCCGGTTTGCATATTGTGTAGGTAATCCTGTACAACTCAGGTGAAACCTTATGTTACAAATGTTACATACAATGCCTACAACACTCTTCCGAAGTGACTTAAGGCAGCCTCCACACACCTCCATGTTGGGTTTGTGATGTTATAATAATATATGCATATATTTAAGTATTATATGTATGTATATATAATATGTATCCAGTATATTTATAATATTACATATGTTTATTTGTTCAAGTTTATGTGGGGGTACTTATCGCCTTGTGGAGAAAATATGGTCGTCTTGGGACCGTCCAGTTGACCGTTGTTTGTCCCAGGTCGGGGGCAGGATGGGCAACCAGGATGTCACTGGTTGCCAGTTACTTGATTTATACACTGATTATGTGCCTGTAATATCCTAAGGGAATTTCTGCTTTCTTCCGGCTTGCAATGTTATTCACTTACTCTATTACTAGTTCCTAGCTCCACTTTCCCGTATTACCGTATATATTGCCAGTATATTATCACTGAGGGAGTATACTGTTACTGCGGGACGTCCTCTACACTGTGTAGGCCTCGTGGCTGTGTAATAAACAGCCTAGTGTGATGCCTCCTCCACAACTTTACATTTATACTTTTTCTTTGTACAATTCTCTAACACTATCCACTAATTTATATGTTGTGTTACACGTTCCACTTCACTGTTCAACGTATCACTGCTCGCTATATTTGATATATATCGCTTATGCCTGTACACATGAGCCTGGTGGCACTGGCTCACCACGTGGGACCACCTTTATTCTGTATTTAACTCAAATTTCCATTGTTAATTTCTGTATTCTATTTTCCTACGGGTCACTATGCACTTGGTGATCACTGTGGGCCGTAATCCATGGTTGTAATCCTAAAAAAGCCCGGTTTATTCCAGTGTTTTAACGGAGCGCGACGACGACACGTCTGTCCCCTCCCCCGCGAACTACTCCACTCCACTACTCCACCCTCAAAACATGTTTAATCAATTTTGTAGCATTGGTGTAGTATAGTAGTGAGACAATGAGTCAGCCTTTAATAAGGCACTCAGGCACTAGGATGCCTTTACAACTTTCCTGCTTGAATTGTATTTATATGTTATGTAATATTAAAGTTATTACCGGTAGTTAAAAATATGATAATTCTTTAGATACTAAAAATATCGGATTCTTGTAGGATTTTTGGCATAGCCAATCAATTCATGTGACAAAATATTCTTGATACAATGTAAAATGTTTTAGTTTAGTAGTACATGCTCCACTACAAAAGTTCTCAGTACATACTTCACATTTGCATATTCAGGCCAACATCTTTACACAAGGCAAGTGGATAATGAAAATAGCTTTTTCCACTTTATTAATTATATCATGAAGAAATCACAAACTGCAATTTAACTTAATACAGTACTCTGCTTACTGATCATAAATTAACTCACTAAAATAAAAATATAAAAAAAACACTCTTTCCGGCTTACCAAGTCTGAAGAATCCTTCAATTCCTGGAATACCTTCTGGAAGTTTAGAGTAACCACTTTGCCTTTAGCTTGAATCAACTTTTTCAAAGACTGAGCTATTTCAACACGCCGCTTGCGGGCAGCAGAACTCATTCCTGTTGTTAGGATGCTGATATCAATCTTACCAGACATGGGGTCTGTAGCAGATTGCTTGAGGGCTTCACGGTGCAATCTAAAGAATTAATATTTAATTTTAAAACAAGCATATTAATACAGTAATCAAATTGTTACAGGTGTATTCTACAGTCAGGATATATCATAGTTTCAACTTCACATGAAAATTAAATGTTGCACATATCTTTGATCAAAATATAAGACAAACTGCATACCTCCATGCCTCTTCCACATCTGCAACTTCCACCGTGTGAGACAGACGTACTTTAGCTTGTGCCTCAGCCAGACGGATAAGAGACTCGAGCTGACGAGGATAGGCAGTCACTTGTCCACGGCCACTACCCACCTTACGCATATCAACATAGGCCGATATAAGACGCTGGGAAGCATCTTCAGAAAGTTTTGGGTGGACATATTCACGTGCATATGCCAAATAATCTCGAAGAATGCTCATGTCCAACATTTCTTCCTCACTCAAACCTTCTGAGCGATAGTACAAGGAAACGAGATGGCGTGCAAGTCGACGATCGTACAATTCATCTTGTGGATCCAGGATGAGGAAGATAAGATCAAAACGTGAAAGAAGAGTATGAGGAAGCTCGATATTCTCAATGATGGTTTTGTTCTTGTTCCACTGTGATTCAACAGGATTGGCAGCAGCAAGTACGGAGGTTCTAGCATTAAGTTGACAAATAATCCCTGCTTTTGCAATACTAAGAGTTTGCTGCTCCATCACTTCATGAAGCACGGATCTGCAAGCAATTATTTTATTAGTTTACATGAAACAATTTTATTTTAGACATCAAACTAGAACACACACAAATCACAATTGCGTGATGCATCAAATGAACAAATTCACAAGAGCCGTGACGAGGATTCGAACCTACGTCCGAGAGCATCCCAGACGCTGCCTTAATCGACAGAGCTATGACATGGAAAAGAATTGCAACCAGAAATTCTACTGAATTTACTTGGATCCCGCAGCCTCTGCGAGACACAAACCAGGTTTTTACAAAACTCCCCCATGCACTCAAGCTATGTCAATAGGCCGTTCGCCCTTACTTCATTACATTACTTCAAACGGGATTTGTGTAAAATCCTGGTTTGTGTCTCGGAGAGGCTGCAGGATCCAAGTAAATTCAGTAGAATTTCTGGTTGCAATTCTTTTCCTTGTTGTAGCTCAGTTGATTAAGGTAGCGTCTGGGATGCTCTCGGATGTAGGTTCAAATCCTCGTCACGGCCCTAGTGGATTTGTTCATCAAACCAAAGTTGTATGTAATGAAACGCCAGTTTCTGGGCGAGACATAAGAACGTAAGTGGAAAGGTAACTGCAGAAGGCCTTTTGGCCCATACGAGGCAGCTCCTATTTATAACTACCCAATCCCACTCATATACATGTCCAACCCCACGCTTGAAACAATCAAGGTACCCCACCTCCACCACGTTACGCGGTAATTGGTTTCACAAATCAACAACCCTGTTACCGAATCAGTATTTACCCAGGTCTTTCCTAAATCTAAACTTATCCAATTTAAACCCATTGTTTCTAGGTGAGACCCGAAGGCTCTCAGGGCTGATGTGAATGTATTAAACCCTGGCATCAGTCAATGCACATGGAGTTCAAGGCCTACAGGGGACCACGAGCCAGAACTGGCCTCCCCAGAGAAGTACGAGGAGCAATGGCCTATAGAAACCCCCGTGTGGTTGGAAGCAATCTATGTCTGCCATTAACCAGGTCAGGCACCCAGAAAGGTAAGCGCCACAAAACAAACCCCCGTTCTGGTTAAAATATTGCTACTAAAATCCAAACTAGTGGACAGAATTCCCCAAATGAATACAGAGCAAATGAGCATGACAAAGACGAGAGGAAATACAGTGGCACCTCGACTTACGATTACCCTGACTATCATGCCATGGGTCGCAAGAAAGTCAGTGGTAAAGTTCAACATATGAAAACCCATGTAAGGATGACCATAGAGCAAAAACAAGAGATCATTCGTAAATATGAAGATGGTGTGCGGGTTGTTGAACTAGCTAGGCAGTACAACAAATCACAGTCAACGATATCCACCATACTGGCGAAGAAAAAGGACATTATGAGTGCTAAAGTGGCAAAAGGCGTATCAATAATCACAAAACATAGAACACAAACACTTGAGGATGTTGAACAGTTATTATTAATTTGGATACACAGCAAGGAGTTAGCGGGTTTCAGAGGCCATCATTTGTGAAAAGCAAGGAAATTTCATGAAGACCTTTAAAAGAAAACCCTTGGAATGAGTAATGCAAATGCGAAAGAGTTTAAGGCGAGCAGGGGATGGTTTGAGATATTTAGAAAAAGAAGTGGCATTCATAGTGTTCCAAGTGTTGTGTGTTGCGAGCTGGTGGAGAAACACAGCGAAGAACTGACCACCGAAGAACTTCACAAGGAGCAGCAACAAGAGACAGCTGAGGAAATTTCTTAAGGGGAGGAGGAGACAGTACAGAATGTCCCTTCCTCATTAATTAAGAAAATGTGTGCAGCATGGGAAGAATTGCAAACTTTTGCTGAAACTACTCACCCTAATCTCGGCGCAGTAGGCCGTTGCCTTACACTTTTTAATGACACTGTGATGCCTCACTACAGACAAAAATTAAAACACGTAGAAAAACAAAAATCTCTGGAAACGTTTTTAGTGAGACAAACCAGCAGTGAATCACAACAAGGTCCTAGTGGTATGCAGGCAAAACGTAGGAAAGAGTGTACCCCAGAGAAGTCATCACTGCCTGATGTTATAATGGAAGGGGACTTCCCTTCCAAACAGTAACACCTCTCCTCCTCCCTCCTCACCATTTTCCATACGCATCATGAATCCTCCATGAAGGTAAGACATACATATGTACTGTATTGTTGTTAGAAAAAACATTGTATTCAGTATAAAATGTATTTTTAAGTTAATATTTTGGAGGGTTGGGAATGGATTAATTCAATTCCCTTTATTTCTTATGGGAAAAATCGCTTCGACTTACGATCCGTCTCTGGCAACAGATTACCATCGTAAGTTGAGGCCCCACTGTATCAGCACTGTGGGGAAATGTCCAACAGACCACTGGGAGACCACATTATCTAACACAGTGCACAGTTACAAACCCATTTAGATTTCAACTTCGATTCAACAGAGCAGAAAAAGTTGTTAATACTTGGGCGGCCCCAGCCCGCCAGCCCTCAACTAGGCCGAGTGGGTCCCAGCGTTTCACAGGAGCGCGCGGTAATTCTGAAAAGTGTAATACTCTCTTCAATTTTGTCACCTCAATTCTCGTCCAGGGTTTTTCAATTTGGTATCATTGTGTTCGCAATAGAATTTTCTACACGACTAAAGACATATAAACTCCAAAAGCCCGGCGTACCATCCACAACAAACAGAGAAAAGTGAGTGCGTGTGTTACCCAGGAGCGCATAAGAGCGATAAAATGTGTACACTCCTTTCACGTTTGTCACCTCAATTCCCGTCCTATGTCTTTCATTTTGGTAACATTGTGTTCGCAATAGAATTCCCTACAGGTGTATATGCAAATATAAAGTCCAAAAGCCAGGCGTACCACCCACAGCAAACAGAGAAAGTGACGAAGCATAATCCCAGTGAGTGCTAATAAAATGGGTATACTGTTTTCAACTTTGATACCTCAATTCTGGTCCTAGGTCTTTCATTTTGGTATCAATGTATTCGCAATGAAATTCTCTACAAGAGTATATGCATATAATATCCAAAACCGCTGTGCACCCCTCCTGAAGCCGCCGCCAATTTGCCGCCGAAAACGACGCAATGCTGCGTCGTTCCCAGGAATGCTTCAACTTCAAAAATGATGCAATGCTGCGTCGTTCCCGTGCGAAAGTGTTAAACACATGAGGCAATATCTTACTGAAGCGACCATATGAGTCATAAACACTCATACTCCGCCCAAGTAAAACAGAAACAAGCAACACTTAGTGGGTCAACCATAGACTTAGGGCCTGCACAGGAATATCCCCAGAGAAAAAAAAAATCACCACCTCAACACACTGCTGTCTACACAATCCCCCTCCTCCTCCCCAGGAGGAGATCTATCTTGAGGTTATCTTGAGATGATTTCGGGGCTTTTGTGTCCCCGCGGCCTGGTCCTCGACCAGACCTCCACCCCCAGGAAGCAGCCCGTGACAGCTGACTAACACCCAGGTACCTATTTTACTGCTAGGTAACAGGGGCATAGGGTGAAAGAAACTCTGCCCATTGTTTCTTGCCAATGATCACTGGACCTGTGATCCTGGGATCGAACCCAGGATCACAAGTCCAGTGTGCTGTCCGCTCGCCCGACCGGCTCCCTAGGGGAAGGGAGATAGGGGAAGCCCCAGACCACCACGCCGGCTATCCACCCTGCAGTTCTGAGGCTGAGGGAGGGAGGGATGCTGGGGACCCTCCAGGTCTCACCCAGAAACTAGCGTTTCATTACATTCAACGCTGGTTTTCTGGGGGCGCCTTTGGCTCCCTTTGGCTCCCTAGAACTACTTACCCAAAGAGAAAACAAGGGGGACTTACCCGGGAGGAGGTCGGCCCTCGCTCCTAAACGCGAAGTTGAGACAACTGGCTGCAACTGCCTACCTAATGTGACACATGCCCGACTACGCCCAGGAACACTGACAAGGCAGCGAGCGGCCAGGACCCTGTTCGACCTTCAAAAACCCAGTGCCCAAATGTCAGACCAAGACATACTGTATTACCGAAGATGGCTGCCAGGGCAGCAAACTTACAAACAGCGTTGGCACGAGGATAGACCGCAGGCTGGCTGGACTGAATAACCCTGTGGACGACCTGAGAGACCCGAACCCTGGAACAGGGAAGGGAAACCAGGTCAACACAAAGCACATCCCCGGCCACCAAGGTCGTGGCGTATAGGTAACGGCGAAGAGCCTCAACCAGATACATGATGCACCCCTGACCTAACCAACCATGCATCTACAACCCAAAATCCCCTCTGGAAAACAGCAGTCTCATTCTTCAGAGGAGGAGACAGGTGCAAATGAGCAAATCTACCACAAAGACCAAAAGAGCAGAAAGTCCTGTGCCAGAGGAGACCCTCCCCTCCTAAGGTGCTTCCCAGTTGGGGAAGTTGGGGAGCTTCCATGAAGCTCCCCAACCCTACCCCCAAGGCCAACAGGAAAAGAATTGGAAAAACAATCCTGAACTGAAGGGGCCACCACAAACCAAGATGAGAGAAAGGAGAGCACCCAGTCCAACAACAAGGATGGCTCAGGCAGTGCATGAGCAGGTCGGAGGTGAAACAATGCACGAGACAGCGTGCAAAACGGTGCAGAAGTAACACCAATGTCGAACGCAAGCTGCAGTGGTTCTGCCAGTGCCACACGATACAGAGAGACAATATTCGGCATAAGATGACTGCCCTGGAATAACCACGAAAGGAAGGACAAAGCAATCTTAGAGACAAGTAAACCTACGAAGGGATAAGAAATAAAGGAAAGCCCACCAAGAAACGCCCTACATACTGAGACAATGCACGCAGGTGGGACACCATCAATGAAGCAAAATGCTCACCATACAAGTGGTGATAGACTCGAGTCAGAAAGACCAGACGTGAAGACTCGAGGAGAAGATCGAACCAGCCACGTAACGAACAGGACCAATCTGCTGAAAGAGGCAGAGCCACGGGAAGACCCTCGGGTTCGGACACCGAGTAAGCAGCCCCTGAAACCAAGGCTGGGCTGGCCACCAAGGAACCAGAAGGACAATTCTCCCTTGGTAAGTCTCCAAACGAGCTAGAAACTGGAGCAACAGCGGAACCGGGTGATAGAGGTACTGTACAAGTAACCCTATCTCAAGCAGTCCTGCTTGAAAGCATTGACAGCAACAGCCTCATGGTTGGGGAAGGTTGCCACATACAATGGGAGACACAGCGACCACGCCAACACCAAGAGTTTCACCTCCGGAGGCCCATATGCCCGGCAGTCAACTGAACGAGTCATCGACCGTCCATTCAGTGGACAGGGGAATGAACCGAGACAGGCCGTAAACCAGGATGTTGGATTACCCCGTCCCCCTCCCTGAATGTGAACGGACAGGAGAGCCAAACCCCAAGAACTCAGCAGACGAGTCATAAGCAGCAACCAGCCCAAAGAACAAAGTCCCAAATCGAACCTCCCCGGTTCAGGCAATAAACCACCAGGAAGTACTGTAGTCTGAATGGAGCCTGATCTTCGATCAGCGAGCGACCTGAACCCTCGGAAGCGATATCCACACTGACGTCAACTCCTGCACCGTGCTGTGGGCCCAACGGAAGGACGGACCCCACCGTCCCTGACCTGGTGAGCACTGGGCACAAAACCCCAACCAAGAGATGGTGTGTCAGTGAGCACATTGAGCGAGGGCTTGGGTAGGCGCTAGGGCACTGAACCCCGAAAAATCCAAAGAGGTAGCTGGCAACGCAGCAACCAATGCAAGGCTTCACCAGAGGCCGAACCCAGCGATCGCGAGAGGCAGAAGGGACCTCACCGAAGGAACCAGAACAGCTAATGAAGCCAAACCCGACCCGGCGGGTAGACCATCACGGCAAAGTTCAGGTTCCCACATACACCCTCGAGAAACCGCTGCGTGACCCTGGAGCCTATTCCCCTCCCCCCAGAAATAGGTGAAGGCGGGACCACAGCCGAAGCAGAGCCTCCGGAGGGAGAGACAAGGAAGCAGTCTGAGAGTCCCACACAAAACCCAGCCAAGACCAAACCCAATGGGACTTCCTTCAGTTCACTAGGATCCCGAACCCAGCAAGCTGGGAAAGAACCAAATCCCTTGGGAGCAGACACACAGATTGGCTGGGAGCCTACACCGGCCAGTTGTCGTGGTAGGCCAGAACCCGAATTCCTAAAAGATGCAGATGGGCAACACGACTTTAGTAAGGTGTGTGAAAAAGTAAGGTGGCAGATTCAAGCCCAATGGAAGGCAACGAAAGCGGTATCCCTGACGCCAACAACAAAACCGAGCCAGTCCCTGATCCCCGGATGAACCGGGACGTGCCAATACGCGTCCCAGAGGTCCAGGGACACCATCCAAATGCCCAACTCCAAGAGGAGACGAACCTGGGACAGAGTAGTCATCCGAAAGGAGGGACAATAAATCCACGGGTTCAGACTGGACAAGTCCAGAATGAACCTGAGGTCCGCTCAGTCCCATTTCGGAACCGGAAACAGACGGGAAACTCACCGGAGGGACGAGGTCGTTTCAACCATGCCCAATGGAACCCACTCCAAGATGACCTGACAGAGTGCAAGAGAAGAGGCCTCCCCTACCAACCCCTGAACCCCCCGAAGGAGCAAAGGCCACCTAACACCACCGCAGGTCACACAAAATGACCCGAAATGCCCACAAATCATGGGGGACCAGGCGTGAGCAAACAGCACAAGCCTCCCACCCACTGCCCCCATCAATGGGACGAACCGCAAAAGGGCCAACTTCCCTTACGTGAACCTGACCACACAGAGTGATCACCGTGCCGACCAGATGAAAGCAGTTCCGAAGGCTGCGCCAGCCCTGAAACTGGAACCACTGACCCAGGATCGGCCACAAGCGACTCCACATCCTCCTCCAGCCAGTCCGAGGACAGCTCGAGAAGGGAAAAGAACCTCAAGACCATCACCAACAGGCCACAGGCGTGCAAGTCCTCAGCAACCAGTGCAGACCTGGGGCCAAGCTGTCCTCCAAGTCCCCTGCCTCAAAAGAAAAGGCAGGAATGAATGGGGCCCACTGGTCAGCACCAGAAGCTCCGGCTGGAGGAACATGCTCAAATACCTCCGTTGCCACACCGGAAGGGGCATCCCCCGAAACTGGAGAAGTCTCAACACAAACTAAATCCTGTGCTGACTCTGAAACTCTCAGATGCTTGAGCTGGAAGCAAGAGGGTGGGGGGGGGGAGGGTCATGACAAACCATGAAGGGGGGAGGACAAGGGGCACAGAATGAACCAAACTCGATGCGACTACAACCCAAAATCCCGGTTCCCTATAACCAAAACAGGGCAGTCTCAGGGCATCTGTGGTAGCAACCAACCTAGCATGTTGCAGCAACATAAACCGAGTATGAAACCCAGAGGCTGCCTGCACCCGAATATCATGATCAATGGAATGGGTGTATTGGAGTACAAACAAGGAACAAAACTCGCAGGACTTCGAGTTGAAGGTGTCACGGACCCAACAGGCAGCATGACAGGCACAACCGGTGAGTGTCACCCTGAGACAAGAGGACAGAGCATCCACCTGACCTAAGAGCCCCCACGGGGTTTCCCAGGGCCCTTAGTCACATATCTCGCTAAGAGAAGCCCAGACATTATCACAAACTGGCACCCAAAGTTACCAATCAAACTGCTAAAGCCGAACCCCTGGGACGTATACACTCACAGGGGCCTATATATAAATGGGTGTGACCAAAACCAAGGGGGCAGATTCCCAACCAGGCAGGAAAACAAAAACACAAGAAACACCCCGCAAGAGGACAACGTGCCCAGGCGGAACAGAGCCAGCCGCTTTGAGAAGTGAAAATTAGCTGCACAGTACCCTGCTCCCCAACCAGTGACAAAACTACTCCCTACCCAGATGCAAACAGTGGTGCATGAAACACCCCAGCTGACTCCAAGAGCAGTCAATCACCGAGTAGCAAATGACCTTGCAGAGGAAGACCCCAAGGTGACTTGGAGAAGGTGTCTGCACCTTTCCAAGCCCCTTGAGATTACCTTGAGGTTACCTTCAGGTGCTTCCGGGGCTTAGTGTCCCTGCGGCCCAGTCGTCGACCAGGCCTCCTGGTTGCTGGACTGATCAACCAGGCTGTTAGACACGGCTGCTCGCAGCCTGACGTATGAGTCACAGCCTGGTCTATCAGGTATCCTTTGGAGGTGCTTATCCAGTTCTCTCTTGAACACTGTGAGGGGTCGGCCAGTTATGCCCCTTATGTGTAGTGGAAGCGTGTTGAACAGTCTCGGGCCTCTGATGTTGATAGAGTTCTCTCTCAGAGTACCTGTTGTACCTCTGCTTTTCAACGGGGGTATTCTGCACATCCTGCCATGTCTTCTGGTCTCATGTGATGTTATTTCTGTGTGCAGGTTTGGGACCAGCCCCTCAATTATTTTCCACGTGTAAATTATTATGTATCTCTCCCGCCTGCGCTCAAGGGAGTACAGATTTAGGCTCTTTTGTCGGTCCCAGTAATTTAGATGTTTTACTGAGTGGATTCTAGCAGTAAAGGATCTCTGCACGCTCTCCAGGTTAGCAATTTCTCCAGCTTTGAAAGGGGCTGTCATTGTGCAGCAGTACTCCACTCTAGAGAGCACAAGCATGAGTACTGCGCCAAGGGCAGTACTCACAGGTCACCTAGGGAAAGGGACCACAGGGGCTTCAAAATATTGCTAATTCAATGATTTTTTAGTACAAATCAAAATGCAAGAAAACTTGGCTAAATAGGTTATCAAAATATTAGTAAATTTGAATATTTTTACTGAAATCACACATGAAAAACATGAAAAAGTCACTATATTACCAAATTTGAGGATTTTTACTTCAAATCATAAAGCGAGGGTTCGTGTTTTTTAGATCATTAAAATGCATATTAAAATATTTCCAGTAAGCTTGCAGACCGATTACTCGTGAATTAACTCCTGGCTCCCGCACGACCACTGAGACAGCACCACACCACACGGTACAGAACTGGAAACACGGGTGCCAGAGGCACACAACCTTGCCAGTTCACATCAGCCACAGAACTGCAAGGTGGATAGCTGGCACAGGGGGCTGGGGCTCCCCCTTCTTCCTCCCGGGGGAAGGGGGATTGTGCAGGCAGCAGCGCAGTGATGTCATGCTCTTTTTCATTTGGGGAGTTCTGTCCATTAGTTCAGCTTTCAGTAGCCATTTTTTAACCAGAATAGGGGTTTGTTTTGGGGCACTTACCTTTCTGGGTGCCTGATTCAGTCGATGGCAGACATAGAATACTTCCAACCACGCGGGGGTTTCTATAGGCCATTGCTCCTTGTACCTCTCTGAGGGGGGGCCAGGTATTTGCTCGTAGTCCCTGGTAGGCCTAGAACTCCATTTGCTTTGACTAATGCCAGGGGTCTAATACATTCATATCAGCCCGGTTAACTCTGGTGAACCGAAGGGGCTCCCCCCAGAAAAATACATTAAATAAAAATATTAAGCAAAATTTTAATGTAATAATTTTGTTCAGCCAAGCCCATAAATATGTGAAGACAACTTACCTTGTGGAGTCATTCATCTTGTCAAACTCATCAATACAGCAAATACCATTATCAGCCAATACCAGGGCACCAGTCTGCAATACCAGTTGCCGAGTTTCAGGGTCTTTAGTGATATAAGCAGTCAGACCTACAGCTGAGGAGCCCTTGCCACTGGTGTACTGTGATCGTGGCACCAGGTGGTACACATACTGAAGCAGTTGTGATTTGGATGTTCCAGGATCACCACATAGAAGAATGTTTACCTCAGATCTGTAAATTATATCAATATTATTTTTTTATAATGAAGTTGGTACATATCGAGTTCCTGCAATTATACACATAAACATATCTGCCCAAAAATATATACACGATATTTACTTGAGAAGCTTCTTATTGTAGTTAGTGTGTATGAATATTTGTTGGCAGGTTTCATCATATGTTAGAAGATTAAACATGGGATCTGCTCTTTGGATTACTGATTGACTTGACATGACCCTCTGACTCATGGTGTGGCATTGAGATCTTAGTTCCTGATTGAAATCTGCTGCTGCTATTGAACCTAATAAAACATTAGTGCTGCACTGAATGACTAAACAAGAAAGAAAGCATAATGTATGTTGTACCAACTACTGCATTAAAGACACAAACCTGTGTATATTTAAACATTAACAGCAGAAATTATGTTTTAATATATTTACCAAGTAGGCTTGAGTGAAGTGGAATGTAACTCAGGAAATGTACTTCTTAAATTTGTACATGCAGTTTTCTTGGTCTATTCCCCACAGTGACAGATGGTGGAATGAAGCAAAAAATCGCTCTAAGCCATTCATATCATCAAATAACAATAAATTATAGGACTTTTGTACTTACTAACACTTAGCACTTTTCAAATCTTATAGCAATCTCATGATTAATTTAACACCCACCTGAAGTGACCCCGGCCAGCATTAGTGAAGTCTTTTCTAGTTCCACCAAACAACTGCAGCAATATTCCTTTCTTGATGTCTTCATTTTCATAAATGGAGGGAGCAATTGCACGAGCAAGGCGTTCATATACATCAGGCTTGCGGGATAATTCTTTCAGCAGTTCAATCCGCTCAGGAGGAAAACGTGGAGTCTCCCTGTTCAAATTATAAATTTAAGACAAAAGGAAATAGTGAAATATAAAAAATAATTTCAGCTATAACAACTTTAGTAAACAGTAGAAAAGGAGGTCTTCAACCCCTAAATTTTAACACATACCCTTCTTCCTGTCCATGAAGTCTTTTAACGTCCACTTTGCGAAAGTGAACAACATCAATGTGTGTCTTGTAAACACTCTTGAGGTTTCGCATGCGAGGGTTCAGTCTCATGGGGGTGGCTCTGTAGATACCAGTAACAGTGACCCGGTCACCAGGCTGGACTCCATCAACAAGATCATTATGAGCATAAACAAGCACAGTGTGGGGGGTCTGACCAGGAGGCATGTCATCTGTTAGAGAATCAAATTTTATAACCATAGGCAACTTGAACTCAATCAATTATTTATTTAATTTAAGTTGCTTAAATTTAGCAAAGTGCACAAGTTACAAAGTCACCATTTCAATTACATGCCTTCAGTATTTTTAACAATATGCCAGTCACAATGTTATACAAAGCACTTTAAAAAAATGAAAACTGAAACTAAAATGTACAAATTATATGACAAGAAGAGCTAACGAAAAAAAGGAAGAGATGACAAGAAAAAAAGGAGACAACTTACAAAAGAAAAGCATGTTTACATACTTTTATTTGTAAGAAAAAAAAATCAAGATCAGTGTCAGCCACAGGAGCCAAACTATTTCAATTTCACACTGATCCATCTAATAAAAACTTAATAATATTAACACTTAAGCACGTTGTTGCATGTGTGCAAGCATGAGTGAACCAGGCCAGGAGCAGCACCTGCTACACTCAATGCAATACTTTTTTTATAACCAAAGTTTGTGTGGCTGTTTATTGTCATACATTTATTGTTGTATTATCACAATTTTGCATATTATTGGTGTATAGTATGGAACAAAGAAAACAGATTGCATATTAATTACATTTTCTGTAAATTTCAAGTCATGTAGCACTCCCACCCAAGAAAACAAAATCCCATAAGTGGCTCCTGTTGTGCTGAACACAAGTCTTCATGTTAATTTTGTTTGTGAACTGATTTATGTATATAAAAAAATCCATGAAAATTTTAGCAAATGATTTTTCTACTGTCTAGTACAAAGAAAATTATTATTAAATAATAACTGTACAGGCATTTGTGAATTTTCAATGTATTATGTGTATGCCATTACAGTCGTAAATATTCCCAAAATATTTCAAACAAGTACTGCCTGGGTCTGGCCCCTGGCCCTAGGCCAGGCTTTTGGAGTAGAACAACTCAAGAACCTCTTCCAGGTACATTAATAACACATGAAGTACTATACCTCTTAATAAACATTATAAGTTACTCAAACTGCACTAAATACATATATGATATGATATGAAAGTTTACATACATGTACAAAAATCTGACATGGATAATTTTACAGAAAACATGCACATCACAAGAAAACAGAACCACCTATAAGGCAAAGTTATTCCATCTTATAAAATATTATACTAATAGTGACTTATTTCCCATACCTGGACTCTCTTGCAACTTGATCATTTGTTTATCAGAGAACTGTGAGCGGTTGTGGATTAATGTGAATGTGTGACTCGTGTTGCAGTGGGTACAGTGAGTTGGCTCAGCAATTCGTCCACGATCAATCTCAACAGTAGTTGTGAATGAACAAACATGGCAACGGAAAAAAGCTTCACGCATTTCAGGAATGATGTTTGAGGTGCGGATCACCATGCCCGAGATGGTGATGAGCTGATCAATATCTGGAAAATAATGAGCATTAAACAAGTTTCTGCATTTTAAAATGAAATTTATACAAATGTTTAAAATGAAACAAAACATTCCAAAATACCATTAACCATTTAACAAACCAAGTCAGGATTGTTTATTTTATAACTCTTATGCTTAAAACACACAGCTGAATATATTACTGTAAAAGTAGTACTAACTAATTAGCAGTGATATCTTGAGGTTATCTTGAGATGATTTCGGGGCTTTTTAGTGTCCCTGTGGCCCGGTCCTCGACCAGGCCTCCACCCCCAGGAAGCAGCCCGTGACAGTTGGCTAACACCAAGGTACCTATTTTACTGCTAGGTAACAGGGGCATAGGGTGAAAGAAACTCTGCCCATTGTTTCTCGCCGGCGCCCGGGATCGAACCCGGGACCACAGGATCACAAGTCCAGTGTGCTGTTCACTCGGCCAACCGGCTCCCTAGTGATAAGTACAATCGATAGTGATAAGTACTCCCGGGTGGTAAGTACAATCGTCACTTATTAAAATGATAGGCACGACCTGTCACTCCTGGACAGTGCAACTACATGCATCTTTCTATAATCAGTTGCTTTTATTAGCCTTGTTTGTTTTGAACAAAAGTTGGGGCAATGAGAATATACAAAAAACCAGCGTTGAATGTAACGAAATGCCATTTTCTGGGCGAGTCCCGGAGGCTTCCCGAGCTTACTAGGCTGATATGCTAATGTCAGACTTTGGCATCAGTCATGTGTATGGAGTTCTTATGGGCCTCGAGAGGCAAGGGGAGCAATGGCCTATAGAAATCCTCTTGTAAGTGGAAGCATTCTACGTCTGCCATCGACCGGGTTAGGCATCCAGAGAGATAGGCGTCCCAAAACAAACCCCAATTCTGGTGAAAATTGCAACCAAAAGCCGAACGAGTGGATAGAACTTCCCAAACAAAAACGAGCAAACAAGTATGATGTCACCCGTCATCGCACCACTGTCTGCGCAGCTCCCCCCATCCCCGAGAGGGGGAAGGGGTAGCCCCAGACCTATCAAGGCGGCGATCCACACCCCAGTTCTGAGGCTGGATATCAAAACACACGAAAAAAACAGGCCGGAGGGAGGGAGGGATGCAGGGGAGCCTTCGGGACTCACCCAGAAAATGGTGTTTCATTACATTCAACACTGGTTTTCTGGAGGGAGCCCCTGCGGCTCCCCAGAGCTAACTATCCACAGAGGTAAAGAATAGGGACTTACCCGGGAGGCGGTTGCTGCTCACTCCTCAAACCGAAGTCGAGACAACTGGCTGCATCTGCCGACCCAAAGTGACACAGGCCCAACTGGGCCCAGGAACGTTTACAAGGTAACGAGCAGTCAGGACCCTGTTCGACTGCCAAAATCCCTGTGCCCAAATGTCAGCCCAGGACATATTGCCAAAGACGGCGGTAAAAGCTGCGAACTTGCGGACGTTATGGGCACGGAAATAGACCGCAGGCTGGCTAGCCTTAATAACCCAGCGGACGACCTGGGAAACCCGCACCCTTGAACAGGGAAGAAGGGAAACTGGATCAACCCAAAGCGCGTCTATGGACACATAAGTCGTATTGCAAAAGTAATGGCGGAGAGCCGCAACCGGACACAAAACATGATGTACCCTTGGCCTAACCAACCAAGCATCAACAACCCAGGGACCTTGGTTAGGGTCCCTGGGTTGATTCTGAATGATTCTTCGCCAGAAAAGAAGAAGGCTACAGACAAACAAACCGATCACCCTGACCGAAGGAGCAGAAACCTCTGCACCGGAGGAGAGCATGAAGCTCACCTACCCTACCCCCAGAGGCCAACACCAACAGGATATGAGCTTTCGAAAAACAATCCAGACCCGAAGGGGCCACAACAAAACAAGGAGAAGAAAGAAAGGACAGCACTCTGTCCAAGGACCAGGACGGCTCAGGCGGCGCATGAGCAGGCCGGAGATGAAACAACGCCCGAGACAGCTTGCGAAACAGCGCAGACGTGACATCAATACTGAAAGCTAGCTGAAGCGGCTCCGCCAGCGCCACACAATACGAGGCGACAGTGTTAGGCATAAGGAGATGGTCCTGGAACAACCAAGAGAGAAAGGACAACACCACCCTAACAGAAAGTGAAGTACAACGACGAAGACACAAGAAGAACCGCAAGGACCTCCAGGAAACTTCATACTGCCGCCGAGACGAAGCCCGCAGATGGGACACTAATAAGGAAGCAACCTGATCACCATAGAGATGATGATAAGAGTCAAAAATACCATACACGAAGACTCGAGGAGAAGATCGAACAATCCACGTGATGTACCGGTCCGATCTGCTTGATGAGGCGGAGCCACGGGAAAACCTCTGGGTTCGAACACCGAGCAAACAGCGCCTGAAACCACGGCTGGGCCGGCCACCAAGGGGCCAAGAGAACAACTCTCCCCTAGTAAGTCTCCAAACGAGTTGGGACCTGGAGCAACAGCTGAACTAGGGAAAAGAGGTACAGGAACCCCCACCTCAACCAGTCCTGCCTAAAGGTGTCGACCCCGACGACCTCGTAGTTGGGAAAGGGCGCCACATACAGGGGAAGGCACCGCGACCACTCCGACATGAAGAGGTCGACCTCGGGGTGTCCGAATGTCTGGCAAAGCCAACGTTAGGAGTTGGCGTCGACCGTCCATTCCGCGGAGAGGGAAACGAAATGAGACAGGCCAGCGGCCAAGACGTTGGACACTCCTCGCATGTGAACTGCCAGGAGAGCCAAACCCCGAGAACTCAGCAGACGAGTCAAACGATGCGACCAGTGTTAAAGTGCCAAGGAGCGCATGGAACTTCCTCCCTTCCCCCCGGTTCAGACAATGAACCACCAGGAAACAGTCCGAATGGACCTGATCGTCGACCCGTGGGCGACTCGAAGCCTCCGAAGAGCAAACCACACCAACGCGAACTCCCGCACCGTGCTGTGGGCTCGACGGAAGGACGGACCCCACCGTCCCTGGTTGGCCTGGTGAGCACTGGTCACAAAGCCCCAGCCGAGAGATGACGCGTCCGTGAACACATCGAGCGAGGGCTCGGGTAGGCACCAAGGCACTGAACCCCAAAAACCCGACGCAGCATCTGAGGCAAAGCCCCCGGGGTCCGAACCCAGCGATCGCGAGAGGCGGAAGGGACGTCCCCGAAGGAACCAGAACAGCCGACGAAGCCAAACCTGACCCGGCGGGTAGGCTAGCATCGCAAAGTTCAGGCTCCTGCACAGACCCTCGAGCAACCGCCGGGTGACCTGGGCGCCCCCCAGAAACAGGCACATGAGGACGGCAGCCGCAGAAGAGACTTCAGAAGAAGAGACAAGGAAGCGGTCCAAGAGGGAACCAGATGGGACTTTCATCTGTTCACCAAGAACCTGAACCCGGCAAGCTGAGAAAGAACCAAATCCCTGGCCAGCAGACAAGCGGCCTGGCTGGGAGCCCAAACCAGCCAGTCGTCGAGGTAGGCCAACACCCGAACACCTAACAGACGCAGACGAGTCACCACGACCCGCGTGAGGCGCGTGAAAACGCGAGGTGCCAGGTTCAACCCGAATGGGAGACAACGAAAGCTGCAAGCACGAAGCCCCACAACAAAACCGAGCCAGTCTCTGAACCATTGATGAATCGGGACGTGCCAATAGGCGTCTCGGAGGTCCAGGGACACCATCCAAGCGCCCGGCTCCAACAGGAGACGAACCTGGCCCAACGTGGTCATCCGAAAGGAAGGGCAATAAATCCAGAGGTTCAGACGGGACACGTCCAGAAAGAACCGCAGGTCCACGCAGTCCCATTTCGGGACTGGAAACAGACAGGAAACCCATCTGAGGGACGTCCTCGTTTCGACCATTGCCCAAGCGAACCCACTCCAAGATGACCTGACAGCGCAGGGGAAGAAGCCTGCCCTGCCAGCCCTGACCCCCCCCCCCCTTCCTGTAGGGGGAAGGGTGGTTAGGGTGGCCAACGCCACCAGAGGCTGTGCGAAACGACCCGAAATGCCCACAAATCGTGGGACCAGGCGTGAGCGAACAGCGCAAGCCTCCTCCCCATCAATGGGGCAAGCCACAAAAGGGCCGGCACCCCTTACGAGACCCACAACCTCGCACAGAGCGAACACCACGCCGACCAGAGGAAGGCGGGTCCGAAGGAGGAGCCAAACCCAAACCTGACACCAGTGGCCTACTACAACGAGAGGAACCCCGAGCCTTGGCCACAGGAACCACAGAGAACCAGCAAGTCCGACATAGGATGGCAAGAAGCCGAAGCAAACTGACTACAGTGGTACCTCGGAATGCGATTGTCCCTGTATGCGAGGTTTTCGGAAGGCGAGCAGTATTTACTCCAAAAATTTGTCTCAGAAGGCGAGGGTTACTTCGGGACGCGAGTTTGTTGATACGCGTACAGGCCGACCTAGCGCGTGGTGGTTCGGCGATCGTCGCCCCTCCGCCCCTCAGTTTACCATTGTCTCACGCTCAGTGACTACCCCCACATCAATTCTTCTCGCGGATTTTCAGTGTTTTGTTTGATTTTTGGTGATTTGTCTATACAATTTGTTATTATATACCTCACCATGGGTCCCAAGAAAGCCAGTGGTAAGGATAAAGGCCAGAAAGCTCATGTGAGGATGACAATAGAGGAGAAACAAGAGATCATTCGGAAGCATGAGAACGGTACACGTGTTGTTGAGCTTTGTAGGCAGTACAACAAAGCCACATCAACAATATGCACTATACTTAAGAAGAAAAATAAGATTATGGGTGCTAAAGTGGCAAAAGGAGTAAGAACATTAACGGCACAAAGACCACAAATACTTGAAGTGGAAAAGTTGTTATTAATTTGGATACACGACAAGGAGTTGAGGGGTGATAGTGTTTCGAAGGCCATTATTTGTGAGAAAGCCAGGGTGTTGCACGAAGACCTTCTAAAGAATACCCCTGCAACGAGTGATGCAGATAAGAAAGAGTTTAAGGCAATCAGGGGCTGGTTTG